TGTAACCGCCGCGCGAATGTAGTAACTGATATGCTAACATGCTTTATGATGTGGAAACAGCTCCGTCAAAGACAGAAACATTGCCCCAGGCACCAAAACCCTAGATAACTATGAAAGGACTCCAAATCTACCCCAAAAGGTATGCGCACTGAAACACTTAAGCCCTCTCATACTTTCCCACGCAATTCCTGTACTGATTTAAGCATTGGAGTGTTCTCCCGGGTAAAATCTACCCAGGCACTCTCACCCTTCTCTCTTTCCAGCCCTTTCCAGCTCGGACATGCAAATGCCAATTCGGCCATGCAGCTCGACACTGCCAGATCAGATCCTTGTTCACACCCAATCACAAGACACGAGGGAGCAGCCAGATTGCGCATCATCAATCTTGATTCTCTAGTCCCTAGACACTAGATAATTTCTATGGCTATAGGGCTCAACCTTGATCAAAGAAAGCCTCGCTTAGCCAAAATTCTTTGTAATTTAAGTAGGCTGGCTTAAATTATAGGGATTCTATTAATTTTGGTGAATGAACTTCCCATCCCTCATGCCTATGATCCAGTAGCTGAAATGATCAGTCACCATCTCCACAAATATGGAGGTGCAGGTTTCTCTATGGTAAGGTTAGTAGACCTCATGTGCACCTTACTTGTGTTGTTTTGATTCTGTTAGGCTGCATTTGTTTTTAGTGTAAATTCACATTTACACCATGGAAAATTTGATCCCGGTTTAGTGATTGATGGAAAATTGAACCAGGGTGTTTTGGAAATTTTCTTTCATGCTGTTTGGTTGTTTCGATGTAAAAGTGAAACTCTACTCTAAAACTCTGCTTTGAAACTCTACTTTGAAACTTTGCTTTGAAACTTCATGGAGCTGACATAGAGCCTGCATATCTCTTTCTCTGTTGACTTCATTGATGACAATGATTTCATCTCCATAAACCCGTGCTCTCAGTCACCAAAGAAGCTTGACACAGAACGGGAAAAGGTGCCGGTGCACACAATGTAGATTTCGAGTTTCTCTCTAGCAACTCCACCGGTGAAAGGATGTTAACGGTCGACAAGCTCTTCTTTGAAGACAAGCTCTTGCCCTTCTGGGAAATGCAACATTCGGAGAAATTAAACAAGATCAATCTCAAAACAAAGGAAGCAGAAGGAGACCATTGGACAGATGAGGTCTTCTAACGCTGTCTCGTTTGAGGTTGGGAATATGTGTGGGCGAAACGAAGAAGGAGACCATTGGATGGAGGAAGTCTTCTCACACTCTCTTCGACTCTTCATATAGAGAGGAGACCATTGGATGGAGAAGAAGGAAAAGTTTACGCCGATTTTATCGATGTAACCTTTTCATTCATTTTCAATGTAAATATTGGCGAGAATGTACTTTTATATCGATTTATGAGGCAATATTAACACCTCTACCAAACACGTGTAAAATCGAACAGGGTGTAAAGTTTACCTAGGTTTGATTTTCCACCTCAAACAAATGTGGTCTTATATATATATATATTTATTTTTTACATGATAGGAAGAATAAGTTGATTGTTCTTGTAATGATAAGGTTTAAAATATCGATACACCTTAACATGTGGGAAGGTGCATATCATGGGTTTGAGCAACCCCGACTTTTTTATTTTTTTATCAAAATCTTAGAAGGGCCAGTCTTTGCAAGGCTTACCCCTGAAAATATTAAAATTTAAAAGACTTTAATATTTCATGTATTGGAGACGGGGCCGATAGATACATTATGCGCTTATATGTGATGAAATTTTGAACCTTGATGTAAAGGAACGTGGACCATTAATCCCTCTCCTTTGTTGAGCCTTCTTTTGTATTCCATTTTTAATGGCATTTTGCCTGTTTACAAGAGAAAAAGCATGCTGGGCTTAGATTATCCTCGGCCCGGCCTGATTTGTTTGAGAAAATTTTTCTCAGCTGCCGAACTTGGCTGTTAATACAAGTTTTCGACGGCAAAGCAGTAAGGCGCACCTGAAATCCACATCGGTGGACTCACCTTTTTCCTTGTCGGTTTTTACATTTTATTTTGATAGATAAACAAGAAAGATAACACTACAACAAAAAGAGAGGTTATCTACAACCAGGCGGATGGCCCCAAAAGCCGAAACCATCCTCCCAAGATTTCGCAAATCACCTGAGTCCTAGATCTATTAACATTTTTGAACTTTACATTCACAAAAGTAGGAATAAGAGACATAATTCTGTCCATCCAAATAGTTGAAGACCAAGAAAGCCCAGACGATCATGAGTTCAGAGCATCAATTACACTCTTGCGTCAGACACTATGAGAATAGAAATCCCTACTTTGGTCCTGAGCCAGAGATTAGGCATGAAAAAGTTCAACTACCAAAGGTGAAGAACAGAAACCACGTTTGCCTCCTGCAGCCATTACAAAAAGAGTTCGAGTTATTAAAATACCTCCATCCTCTGTAATACCCCACCATCACCGGAAATTAGAAAGAATATACCATAAAAAAAGATTTAACAGTTGAAGCCACCGGTGATTAGATGAAATGACCACAAATACCCAGAATAGATGAAATAACCCAGAACACAAGTCTTTTAATCTGATTAAAAATAAGGGTAAATTATCCTAAACTTTCAATTGCAATAATTGAGTACTCTGAACTTTCAAAAATGACACTTGGGTCCATCTATTACTATTTCGCTAATTAAACATTATGTAATATCAAAAATACCTTTTTCATATATTTTTAAGATCATTCTATGGAATAAATTCATCACCTGAGAATGTGATCGACGAAAGATTTGAATATGTTATTTAGTGTCCATGTGAGAATGCCATCGAGGAGAGATGTCTAGTTACCTGACTGATCTCAGAAATACACAAGAAAGGTATTTTAGACATTATGTTAATTGATGGGATACTAATGAATGAACCCGTTTATTTTTGAGAGTTCAAGGTACTCAAGTATTGAAAGTTCAAGGTACCTTATCTCTACTAATCTCCTTTTTGCTGTTAAAGATATTTCTGTGAATACTGAGTTTTTAATTGAAAAAAAAAAAGTAAGAAATTTCAAATACAGCCTAAAACAACAGTTAACCAAAGCAGTCCATTCTCATGACACGAGTGGGTTTGTGTTTTGCCGACCTTTTGCTACATCCTTGATCCTACTATTATCCATTCCTGTACGGCTCTGCCTCTCAGTCAAAGCAAGCCTACTCAACTAAGTAATCACATTTAGACTTTGGTTTAATCTGTTAAACAAACATTAAGGAAGTGAACACGCCAACATCGTAGTCGATTAAAGCACATGCCACATTCAACAATTTTTGAATGTGGATCGGTGAGACTGAGAGGATTCAGAGCAAGACAAAAACAGCAAGGATTGAATTAAAGCTATGTATGATACAAGGAAAAAGTAATTACAAAAAAAAATTAGACTGAGCTTGAACAAACATTCATGAAGTGATCACACAGACACAGCATAGCTCCCAAATACAAAAGAAAATACAAACAATGCAAAAGAACACCACTTCAACGTCTTGGCAATGGAAACCCAAACAGGGCCTTCGGGAAGAATCTCTAAGAGGCCGAACAGCACAGAGGCCACGATCATAGAGATGAACACAGAGCCCAAATATATACTCACGAGTTTCTTGGTTTCGGCATCTCCAGGAGGAAACTTAGCAATGAGGATGGCCGGTGCTGCCGGGATCGGCACGAGGCTCACAAATCTGCGCAATGATTCCTTCTCAGCAGTTGTATCACTGGTTTCTTGGACCCTCGAAGGAGAGGTAGTAATGGGTAGTTTGGAAGAGGAATGAGGCGCCATTAATTGATTGTGGAGGATGAGTGGTTTGCAAGAGGAGGACAAGGTTGAGCTAATGCCTAATGGGTCTTCTCTTCTGTAGTTCAGTTCATGTGTCCTGTATATAGAGAGGTGAAGGATATCGATTTGGTGTGGGTGTCTAGGACATGAATCAGGAGCTTAATCTTCTCTTAAGCTTTCATGTCGACATGTTTAGTAGTTGATGAACCTCAGTGGTCTTAGCTAGCCATTGATGTTCAGAAAGCATAGCAGATAGCACAACTGGGTGATCTGTTGAGCGGAGTGTGGCTGAGTGAGGTAGTCTGTGGCAAGTCATGACTTCCCCACGTGAATAGGTAAGGCTATACCCAGAAACAGGAACCCAATTCTGTTACTTGATTGTTGAGTGGAGTGTGGCTTCCTCGTTTTTCAAATGTCAGTCAGTCGGCTATGGATTTTCGATGGTCTTACACAGGATAGAGCTAAAATCAGATAAGCTCTCCAGCTCAGTTGTCTCCAAAACATTTTACGTGCAGGGGAAGGCTTCAAGATTAACTAACAATGTCGACATGACAAGCCCGCCCGGGAAGCGATTCATTTATCAGAGAGAGAGAAAGAGAGAGAGAGAGAAGGGTTGTGATGGCGTCCTCCTGGGAGTACAAATATACTGCTTCACTACGTCCATCGAACGAGAAAAGATTCCATTGTAACGGTGGATGTTCTGGGTCCATAGTAGTATTAGTTTCATGAAGAGGGTAAATTAGAAGATTAGATCATCCCTGAACGGCTGGACTTTTATTTGCACCAAAGACCCTCTTGAACTTATTCTCACAAAGATCCCTTCGTTGGTAATTGGTATAAGGAGTCTGGTATGACTGTTTGAACTTTTTTAAATCTCTAAACTATTTTTTCATTAATGATTTTTTTTTTGTTATTTTGTTTTCATTTCTATTTTTTATTGCTTTAATTTTTTTAAGCCCTTATTGGTTTAGTTGATATTAATTGCATATTGTTTTTGTTATAATTTTATGTTTTCATAGAAATTTTTTTAGTTTTTTATTGTAATTTGAAGTTTTTCGTGTGGTTATTATGATAAACTAACTTTTCGATCATTCATCTTAACGGATAATTGCCAATTTGCATTTACCCCAGAGTACAGGCTTAGAAGTTAGACGCCTAGAAGGTAGTAAACTGTAATTTACCAAAAAATAGTATATGGCCATTTTGCCCATTGGAAGGGAAAGGAACGTTGCAGCGAAACCCCTCCCAACTCCCAGGTGGAGAGAACTCCGTCCTCTGAAGACAAAAGAGGAGACTGCGGCGATCAGGCAAACGCTGGCGACATCAACCGCTGAAACTCCGGCAGGGGTAATGTTGCTTTTTCATATGTCTCATCTCCATTTCCTTCAGATCTGTGCATTTACCGTTTTGTTTTTGTTGGATGTGTGCTTTGTATTCCGTGTTTGGATGGATCTATGCGTTATTCATTTTTCCTCATCAAGGGATCTCAAAAAATTGTTTAGTATCGAACCAGTTGTGGAGTCTATGTTAAGTATTTTCTACTATATTTTGCCGTCAAACCCATCAACCAGTTGTAGAGTCTATGTTTAAGTGTAGAACCAGTTGTTTAATATTCTTGTATGTTTTTCCTTCCAATTTATTGTTCATAAGATATAGCTCCCTGGTCCGTAGATAGGTATTATTTAGTTTTTCAATTTTTGTGTATAAATCCTTTTTATGTTAATGTGTTATTTGAGAAACAGTTAGTAGGTGTGGGGATACACATTTATTTTGAAAAATATTATTGCAGGTGATGACAATCTGTTTTTGTGAAATCTCTTCATATTGTCTCTTGTGTTGGTCTTGGCTCTGTTACTAATCATGTGAAATTTGTTAACAGAGAGATTACAGAAAGTTGGGAGCTATATTGTTCTGGGAAGTGGAACAGAACAGAGAATTTACTAAATCATGAAATCTATGAATTCCAGAAGGTTTGTTCTGATGTCTTTCCTTCTTTTCTTTTTTCTATTTTTTTTGGGTTCTTGTTAGTATTTTGATTGGTGCTTGCAATCTGCACAAGATATTTACATCACGTTCATTATAGATTTCTCTTTTTGGGGCAAATATTGGAGTTCGGTTGTTTGTTTTCTGGTTCCTATCATAGTTTATTTTCTAATTTATTTTTTTATTTTAATCTGTTGATTTTTTGGTGGTTTTGCAAGTCAATGTTTGTGAAAATATGGAGTTCCAGTGATCTAATTGGATACACAATCAGTAACAAAACCAAAGTGGATTAGTTAAATGTATAAGATAAAACAAAAATACAGAAAGGAAGTATAAACCATCAACCTGAGGAGTGGCTAAAGGAACCAACAGCCAGGATCACTATCTTTTTTATAGAGATCAGAAAGAAATTTTATCCCAGCATAGCAATCTGCAGTTCAAGGATTTGCTTTCTACTTTTTCTTCCTCTATTTAGAGTATTAGTTAGGGTGTTGGCCAACCTTCTTTTTCTTTATGAGATAAAGTAATGTATATGCATTTTATCAGAAAACCAGAGTATACGTGAAAGGATATACCAAGATGCACAAATATGCATATGCAACACTCTCTAGAACAAAAGGCTTTGAAGGAACAGAGCTGTTTCTATACAAGAAGACCTCCCAAATCTGAAAGTAACTAGACCATCTACTATGGCATTCATTTCCCTAGGATAACAAGGTATCTAAACTGCTAAAGTCTCTAGATCTCATTTAACAGGCCTGCTAGACAGCATGGTTCATTAGTCATTACCAACTGTTAAACCATTAAATGCATTTACAAGTCATCCTTAATAGCCAGTGAAGAGAGATATGATTGCTTGACAATTTGGATTCGAGTTTAGATAGTTCTAAGTTTTGTTTTCTCTGAAGTCAACACCACAAACCTGTGGAACTGGAGGCTCTCAGTGGTATGGCCAGTGGGCCTCATGTTCTCCCTGCTCTGTCCCCACTCCTGAGGCCCCTGTAGTGTGTACTATGTAATACCAAGAAAATAAAGGCTGCTAAAAACCATGAGTAAACAAAGATGGACTATTCTAAATTATCAGGTATGGATTCATCACCAATTTTTACCCTAAGAGTTTAAGGTTCTTTGATTACATATTAAATCCTCTCAAGTGTTGTGTTGGTGTACACACTTGTCCAACATGATGTGGTTGCCCTTGCCTGGTTTAACATGTCCATGTAACATAGCTTTTAAGGCTTGTCAAAATTGAGTTGCATTTAATGATGGCTTATAATAGCTTCTTTATTATTATCTAGAAGTCTTTAGGAACAGTACAATCTCCTCATACATCCATATTTACTATTTAAAAGCTATGTTACATGGACATGTTAAACCGGGCAAGGGCAACCACATCATGTTGGACAAGTGTGTACACCAACACAACACTTGAGAGGATTTTGATTTATTTGTTTTTATTTGGGATGAACCGGGCAAGGGCAACAATCTCCTTTTTGGTTTATTTGTTTTTATTTGGGATGAACTAGTTGTATTGTATCTTTGTCTTCTATATTTACTATTTTCTCATACTCATTTTAATAGCATAACAATGATCTGTTACTGATAAAAAGCATGCTTATCCTTGATGGTTTTTCTTCATGATCTGTTTCTTTTTTAAAATTTTCATATGTTGCAGAACTTCTTGGTTATATCCCTGGATGCCTTCCTGTATATCAATTTAAAAGGAAATACCCGTGTTCTTTGGATTTTAGCCATCATTGTGACTTGTTATGGAATGCCATCCCTATGCAGGGAATTTCGTAGCAATAGAGCTGCTCTCTTTGATGGCATTGAAGATGGTATCAGGGCCACCTCATCCTACTCATCCCGTGAAATTTATGAACATGACAATGATAGGGCTCTTGATGGATTGCAAGATAGAGTCAGTCTATTGAAGAGAGTAAGTTTGGTGGATATGTTTCTGTTTTATAATTTAGTTGTCTATTTGTAATTAGTGTCATAGCTTGATAGGTCTTCACCAGGGAAATAAATGTTTAGAGTGTTGCAATGTGCAGTTCCTGCATGCATGTTTTTGCTACTTCTCCTTGGTTCTTGGTCAAAATAATCATTTTTTGTGTCTTCTATTATTTCTACACACTGATGTTTTTCAAAATGAAAAATTCATGTGTAGTACAAAGTAGGATTGAGGTGTTTTGTAGAGACTTTGATTTATAAACCTTTTTCGAACCGTTCTAAGTTTCTGATCCATTTTTACTTCACTACTGTTTATGATGTAAAAGATGTCTCTATCTTTACTATACTACTGATCTATCAATTTGTTTCTTATATATATGCTGTCTAAAATACGTGGCAAAGGCACACTGGAGGACTATGGTTTTCCCTGCTTAAGAGTTTTAAGGTAGTATTTACACGAATACATGATTGTAAAGAAAAAAAAGGTAGTATTATAGGGTACAAATGATCTGGTATATGTGGTTCATTAGAATGAGTGAATGGTGTCAACCTCTAATCGTTATGCTGATTGTATTTACACGAATACATGATTGTAAAGAAAAAAAAGGTAGTATTATAGGGTACAAATGRTCTGGTATATGTGGTTCATTAGAATGAGTGAATGGTGTCAACCTCTAATCGTTATGCTGAACTGCACTATCATGATACCATGGCATTTTAATACGAATGCTTTGCATTATATTGTGTCCACCTGGTCTTTTGAGTTGATTCCCATGCTTCAGAATATCTCCTTGAATTGAACCTTGATTCCCATTTGTGAGTTAATGATTCACAGCTGACGGGAGACATACATGAGGAGGTTGAAAGTCACAACCGAGTATTGGACCGGATGGTATGTAGGTGGCACTCATATAAAGCCATTTTAATCTCTGTTTAATTGAAAATTATTTGTTAGTGTCTTAATTTTTTGTTATGACATGGATTACATGCATATCAGGGAAATGATATGGATGCATCAAGGGGAATTCTTTCAGGAACTATGACTCGGTTCAAGATGGTGAATAAACCAGATTGCCCTTTGTTCTATTTCTAATTTTCTATCACGTTTCTTTCTACAATATCTGTTCCTTGCTAAATATAGTTCACCTGAACTGTAGGTCTTTGAGACGAAGTCAAGCAGGAGAATGTTTACACTTGTGGCATCATTTGTTATCATCCTCCTAATCATATATTACTTGACTAGGTGACAAATTTGTCTTGTAAAGTTGGTGGGATAAAATTACCATATTTAGTACAAGTGGAAGGACATGCATTTAATATCTTCGTACATAATACTAATCCGAGCTCCTGATTTTAAGATATTTCCACCTATAAATAGATATGAATATGTGGCTATGTATTAGATATATGTTTGGGTGGTGCATGGATTTCAATTTCTAATTTTCCCAAAACATCATCTAAGAAGCATAACAATTAGAGATAGCAATTTCTACCCTACCTACTTGATACCCACCCGATTGGGGTAACATTTTTTCGTCTTTTTTAATTGCTTGATGAATGGATTTTGGGATTCTACAACCCGTACAGGTATGGATAGGGTACTTATTAGGCTAAACTCGACCCTCCTCGATCCACACATTGTTGAAAAGCATATGAATTTTATGTATTAAGTGTTGAATTTAATAATATTTTAAATATAATGTGAAGGATAATTAATAGTTTGTATTTTTAACAGGGGGTAGGGTCCCGAATGACAATGCCGATAAGGTTTAGAAATATCGAATACATATTTATTTTTGCACTCTTCCCAAGCTGAGCCTTTATTTCTTTTCATTTCCATGTTTGAACTTCTGTTTGCGCTGGATTTTCAACTCATAATGCTTCTCCTTCTTGAGTTCTATTGGTTAAATCATCATGCCTAATTTCATTGCTTTCTGAAATCCCGTTGTGTCCTAACAAAGTCCTGTAAGGTTGATACGTGTAATGAATGGACAAGGACCAGATGGTTTTGTACTCACTGGTAGAATTAGATTGAGTTGAGAATTTTGTATGGTTAAACCGTTAAAGAATAAGGTAAGTTTCTGAAACCTTGCCTGAAGTTTCTCGCTGTTGCTGAAACCTCCTCTGAAGTTTGATAATTGTAATCACCTTCCCTGAAGAATTTTGTATGGTTAAAGAATAGGGCAAGTTTCTGAAACCTCATCTGAATTTTCTCGCTATTGCTGAAACCTTTTGAAGTTTTGCGTGCGTTTGGATGGGGAGTATAATCATGATCCATGTAAAACTCCACTCCTGTTCAGTTTTGCGTACATTTGGATGGAGTAGAGTTTTACGTTGATATTCGATGTAAAACCTATCAAATGTAAAGTTTTACATCGATTATCGATGTAAATATTACATCGATTTTAGTGATGTAAAAATTTACACTCCACCAAGGTTCAAAATATTGATACGTCCGATACACCGGTATGGGTGTATCAGGTGAATCAATACTATCTTTTTTAGTTTTTTTTTTTAATTTTTTCTGAAACCAATTCAGGGGGGGCCGGTTTAGGTCTCCTCCATCCCCTGAACCGATCAGACATCCAATACACCCACTACAGGGGCATATCGGTAGGGTCCCGAAATGATACGTATCGATTGATATGGGCCGATACGTGTCGATACTTCGAACCTTGCACTCCACTAATTATGTTTTTCAAAAAGCAACAGTTTCTTTCACGGTTCAATGTAAAATGTTATCGGTGTACCAAACTCTGCTTAAAGTTTGTATTCCCGTAGAAACCAACCTCTATAATAACTATATGGGTATTTTTGGACATTTTCATGCCTTTTTTCAAAAGAGTCTGCCAAAGGGTGTCTAGTTACAATTATATTAGAAAGTTATGGAGAGGTGATTGCAATCATGCATGATCATTCTTAACCCGGTGGTAGGCTGCCTGAATCTAGGAAATATTTGGCTCCCACCCGGTTAGAGGACATGCGTCTGATTAAATACATTTTACCCCTTAAATTTTAGAGTTTAGGGGTTTAAAGTTTAGGTTTCAGGATTTAGATATAAAAGTCAAGAGGTGGTTGGATGAAAAAGCATCTGACCATGATAAGAGCCAAGTTCCGTAAATCTCGTTTCACCATTTTTGTTCTGTTCAGTTTCATATATATAGTTAAATTATGAGCTTTTAAATCATGTCTGCTTAGGTAGGTTTTAAATTGCTGCAATATCTACAACTCTACATTGTACTACTACATTTATTGGATTGTAGGAACTTGTTGGGTCTACTACTTGCATACCCATATAACTGTTAAATAGACTCAATGAATGTACACGGATTTGGTTTGAATCCAGCAGAATCCTCATTCACATCCGATTATGAAACCTTTAGATACGTATCTACATTTGATTATTATATTGGATTTCGGATCAGATTTGGATTTAATCTAGAACCATTTTATTGTGTGATAAAAAAAAATTCAAAGTCTAGAAAACCAAATTAGTTTTAACTTATGGGCCAGGCCTGAAAGCCCAACTTTTCAAATCGGGACCCGTCTTTCATTCCCTACTTTGAACAGGCCCGTCTGCAATGTTGGAAAACAACAATGCTTGTTTGTATTCATCAGAAGGGTGCTTGGAGCTTGGAAGGACCTGAAAAGGTTTTCCTTCAAGAATAGAGAAAGATTCCTTCTGACGGTGGATAATTAGGGAAAGAAAACCTTCTCCAAATTATAACTTGATGTGGAGAAGGGGTGGAGTGTATGTGATATGAAAACTGCTAGGGGCATTTTTAAAATAAAAAACCTAGGACCCATGTTTCATTCTTAGAGGGAAGGCCAGTTTGAAAAGAAAACAAATGTAAATATGTACAGTACAAATGTATATAATATAATACAAAATACAAGGTGTTGCACTCTATTTATTTGTATTTATAATTCTTCCAAATTGATCTTTAGTAATATAAAAACTAGAGGGTAGGTTTAGTAAACATGTTATTCTGTAGGGATGCCTAAGTAAATGATCCTTTGAGAAACTTAAAAGGTCACATGATACACATGTGACCATTTTCCATCTATATTCAAGCTAGGGGTGATCATTCTTATCCAGGGCCAAAAACCAATCCAGCGCAGCAAACAATTTGGACCAAACCTAGGTTGATTCAGCCTAGGATTTGGTGTTCAAGGCATGCACCAACCTTTAGGGTTTATGGTTTGAATATTTACAGTTCAGAATCTATCAAAAATAGGAGAAATCAAACATCATAACATATGCATAAGAAAACAAATATGGTTGGGAGTTTGGTGGTACGAATCTGATCCAAATAAAATGCAAAATTACATGGATCTCCTCTCTACCCTTTGAACTTGTACTCCTCCAAACTTTGCAGTCTCCAGTTGTTTCTCCAATGTAAAATAACAGACAAAACCTAATATTTTTTTCTAGTACTTACATAAAAAATACATATGAAATATTGTCTAAGAAAATAATAAAATAATTAATTACAAATTAAGTCAAATAGGGGAAATCACCCCATGTGAATCCAACTTGCAATCAATGAAGAAAATAATCTCTACACACTCAAGATGATTAATTCAAGATTCCACTACAAAATTATTCTAAATAATGTCAGAAAACATAAAGGTTATATATTTAGAACATTGGCCCAATTGGAGAACCGAATTCTTAATATAAACAGTTTTTATATCAAATCAACTAGACTGGCTTTGGCCAATTTGACTTTATGTTTAAATTTGCTCAAGTTCAGTGTTAGAACTGAACTTAATACTTTGATACCACTATCTAATGGACTGAAAATTCAATTGCTTCATGGCCGAACCTATTATGGTTGATGGTAGAATTATAAAAAATTTTAGCCCGAACCCAAGAACCATTTTCTTGGTATTTGAAAATCTGATTCTTCTAGATCGGTCTAGCACTTAACTAGATCAAGTTTGAAATATAAAATTAAATTGAGCATACATAACATAGAGTCAACAAATTGCATCTCCTAGAGTCATAGTTTATGCCCAAAATCCAAACTCAAATTGGCTTCCTAACTGAAAATGGTGTAGTTGTATCTGGAGGTTGATCCTGCAACAATTTTTTAGCTGAATTGGATCTCCAACAAGTTGGAAACTTGTGCAGTTTTGAGAACCACTTAAAATTTGATGCTTTTTTAAAAAGTGCAACAATGAATAGTATAAGAACAATGCCTTCCTTGGCTGGTTCGAACCAGGGCTTATGGGAAGTTAGAGAGAAGAGAATGACTAGAAAGGCGTATGACTAATGTAATTAATTAGGACTAATCAAAATCAAATTTGAGTTAGGTCTCTAATTACACTAAGAGAATGAAGGTCCAAACCCTTATCCATATCCATATTCGACCTATTTCACATGACAACTTAAATTGCCATATGTCTAGTCTAAGTAGTCTAACTAGTAATGGGCTAAGGTCCATTTTTTTAAGTGCTTCATGTACATAACTATTGCAAGCCTTATTGGGTTTGAATAGTGTATGGTGTAGGACCCACAAAGGTCTCGTATCAGTACACATGGGTTCAAGCCATATCTAGAAAGATGTAAGCCAAATTCACTACGCAAAGGTAGTGAACCCCTAAGCCAATCTAATTGGGCTCAGTTTGGGCCCAACACTTAGTCTAAATGATCTTTAGTTTCATTCACACTATGAATCTCATTAGCTTTTAGTCCTGTAATAGTCTTTTGCCCTTAACCTTTCAGTCCTAAATTATTAAACGATATTCATAGGGAAGGATTTCTTCCCTGACTGCAAAATATAGTATCACACCCTCTTATCACCTTATCTACACAGTTGTACGTGAATGCAAATTTACATTATTACTTTGGAAGTAGTCTTACTTTAGGGATTAAACTTTCAAATGTGCCACTTTAATACCTAAACTTTCAAATGTATACATTTAAGTCCTCCATTAAGTTGACATTATGATTAGGGGTAAAATTACAAAAATGTCTATGTTCTAATTCTCTTTTTTCTCTATTCATTTTCTTCTATCGTTAGATTTCAGATGCAAACTAGTGGTTGCATAGTAAGCTCACCCAAGTCTATTAATTTGGTGTAGTCACACTTTTGAATGCTTACTTTTCCACCGCTGATTTGCATCCGAAGAGAACATAGGCATTTTCATAATTTTACCCCTCACTGAAACCTTAATTTAATAGAATTAAATTTAAATGTATATTTCTAGAAATTCAAATACTAAAATGTTATATTTAAAACTTCAAAAGCCTAAAAGTAAAACTATCAAAAAACACAGGTACCTATCTATAATTTACCCTATTGGCTATATCATTTTGCTTCTTGGATTGGAATTATTGAACGTTTAGATTTGTGATGTTTGAAAATGGTAAATGACATTTATTTTGTCATTTTGTAAT